TGAAAAATCTGAAATGTAGATTTAAAGCGGATTAATACTTTTCTATTAACACTATGTGAAAAATTAGCTGTATTTTTTAATTATACTACTAGCATTGTTTGTTGAGCACAATAATGAAATAATTTTATTTTTTATTTTTATTAAATATTTATTTCACATCTCCCTTCACTCCCTCCGCCTTTTTCTCTACTTCCCAATTTATATGCGCTTTTTTTGTAAAACTTTATAATTAAATAGAATATAAAATAATTTAAGCAAAGATTTCACAATAAACACCTAGCAGTCACATTGACTTTTCTTGGGCCTATCACAAAATAAAAAATATAATAAAATAATATCAGAAGGTTATGCTAATTATTGAACAAGAATATTGAAAAGAAAGAAAAAGAGAACCATTGTTACATTTTCTAAAATAAATGAAATTAAATTTTACAGATTCGTAAAGAAAATATATATGGAGAGAATCCCAAAGTGGATAATTAAATAAAAATTGCTTTATGGATTTATCAAGAATAAAATAAAATGCTAGAAATTAATGAACTATCAATTATAACTTAATTATTTATATTATTCTGCTAATTTTTATTGATTATTTGCTACTTTGTTAATATGTATATTACATAATTATGTTTGCTTTTAAAATATTTTATTAATGATTTATATTATAATTAAATAATTAATAGCTTTTGAAATCAAAAATATTTTTTTATTTATATAAATAATACAAAATTATTTTTTGCTTATTTATTCTAAAAATTCTAAGCTTGAACTAAATTTAATAGTATTGACATTAAATTGGCAAGTGTATTGTTAGGAGCAGATCAAACTTGTGTAACATCTTGGTACGTTGTACTTCTTTTTTTACTTGAGATATGGATTTGACTTAGTTAACTTTAAAACTATTATTAATTCTTTTCTTTTGCATGTTGTCTTCTCTAGATGGCTTGAGTCTCAATTCTTTTTAGTAACTTCCAGAATGATCTTCTCACAACAATATTACTCTAGAAAGATAAGTTAATTAATAACTTCTTATTTAGGCATGTCTATCATCATCACTTATAATAATTTTTAATTAATATACCAGCATAACACAATTGTTTTGTGCTTCTTTTTGTTAATAGAGAAAAATATCAATTAAATTTTTTTCTTTATGATTCTGATTAAGATTATTATTATATTTTGTACTTTCTTACTTTTATTTATACCATTATTTTTTTTTGTAATAACTGTCATACGTCTTATTTATTGAATATTGTTATAAGTGCTCTTACATATTTTGCAACAAATGTCAAATTCTATCTATTTTCCAAACTACCTAAAATAAAATATACTACCTACCAGTTGACTTGTTGCCCTCCATGACTTCTATATTATTAATGACAAAGCCTTAATAGTATAGGTGGAGAACTAACTTGCCAAAGTGTATACTTCTAAATTTACATTCACTATCTGATAAACAGAAACTTAAAAACTATTTGAACATAGTCAGTCACAAACTAGTTATATCTTATTGGCTCTAATTAGATCTAAAAAATGTTAAAAAAGTAAAAATAGGAATATGTATATATTTTTACATGTGAATATCTATAATAATCTACAGAAAAACCCTCTTAAAACCTATAGAATATATTTGTGAAACTATAAAAGAGAAAAAATTACTTATTGTTTTAAATAAAAATTCAGTTTGTATACTATTGTAATTTCTATATTAATTCATAATCAGTCTATATTTCTTATACTTTTTTGTTGATCTTTATCTAGTTTGAAAAATCTCCAACTAGAATTGATCATTTGTTTTCTGTTTTAAATAAAGTACTATTATTGCTATTTATTATAATCAGATAAAGTTTAGTTGCAAAAAATCTAACCCTAAACAAAACAAAAGATTGGATATTGTGTCATAAGTAAAGTTTGTGATGAAGAATTAAAATTATTGATCTTTATTTCCATTCATAATGTGTTTTGTTATGTTATTTATTTCTTCAAAAGAAGATAAATTTTTTTTATGGTATAATGAAGAATCTAACAAATCATGAGAATATCATTGTCTTAAATAAGTTAATTTTTTAAAACTTCTGAATTAAATTTGTTTCTAATCATTGTAAAGACACAAAAAAATTTTAAAAATTTAAAATAAAAGAAAGTACGAAAAAAAATTTTTTTTGTATATTTATATATAAGCTTTTATAAATAAATCTCTGAAACAATTTATTGTCAAATATTCAAAAAAATTTTTTTTGAACAATAAACTTCAATAAACCAAGAACAATAAACTTTTAAGAACAATTATTGACAAACTTATAAAAATAAACTTTTAAACAACGAACTTTTTGATAAACTTTTAAAAACAATTTATTGGCTAGTTTTCAAAAAAAAAAAACTTATAAGCATCAAGTTTTTTAATAAACTTTTAAGAACAATTATTTAAAATAAACTTAAATAGCGAACTTTTTTTGATAAACTTTTAAAAACAATTTATTGACTAGTTTTCAAAAAAACAAACCTTTAAATAACAAACTTTTTGATAAACTTTTAAGAACAATTATTAACAAACTTATGGAAATAAACTTTAAATAGCAAACTTTTTTTGATAAACTTTTAAGAACAATTTACAACTAGTTTTCAAAATAAACTTTTAAATAGTAAAATTTTTTTTAATAAACTATTAGAACAATTATCAAAAAATTTTCAATAATTAACTTGATATCAAACTTTCATAAACTTTTGTTTGATCAATTATAAAGAATAATTTAATTAATAATAATTGTGCAATAAAAAGTTTAAAAAATAAGTTTCAATGAAGCTTTTTAATAATAATTTAACTTTTATTAAAGTATATAATAGATTTCAAATATATAAACCATCAAAAATATTAGATTAAATTTTAAAAAATTCCAAAATTTAAAATAGAAAAAAAGTGACAAATCAATCAAGTCCCAAAAATTTCAAAATAAAGTTAATTATTAGAATAAATTATGCTTTAATTATTTTTAAATAACTTATAAATAAATTTTAGCTTACTTCTTCATGAACAAAGATAACAATATCAAAATGTTTATTGAATTTTCATCAGAACTTGAATCGGAAAAAGAAATTGCTAATCCTCAATGTTATATGAAGTTATAGAATTAATAGATAGTAAAAAAATGATAAAGAAATTTTAGATAAAGTTAATTATTATTAGGTTTTAACACAATAAATATACAGTGGCACCTGTCTAAATGCATATTGTATATTTGCATAATCTGTATATTTGCATAAAAATAGCTTGATCCCATGTTGGGACTTATAAACTATTTGCATAACGTAAACGTGCATATTCAATTGATTTTAATGAAGTTTCTTAACGCATATATGCATATTTTGCTTTAGAAGAAAAGATACATATTAATAATTACAATTAAAAAGAAAAGAGAACTCTTCCAAAGGTTCTCGCTGATGTTACCAAGTTAAATTATGTTACCATTGTCGTGGGCTCTCTGGCAAGCCCACACTCCTGGTCATCTTTTCAGTTCACAATAAGGTAAGTTTCTCTTCCAACTCTTGAGGCATGTTTCTTATTTGACAGTTCTCTCGCTGACTAGCCTAGAACCCTTCCGTTAGGCAAACCTCGGTTCTCTCTTGTAGTCGCGTAGCCCAAGTTACAAGTCTTACTTTGGCATACCAAACACAAGGTAAGAGTTTATCCATCAAACGTTACTTTATTGTTTATTACTTAAGACGTTACTAACTCTAAACTAAACTTCTCTTATCCGTTTACATGCTACTGAATGGCGCATGTATTTATACATGCGCCTGTTATTTACATGTTCGCTATTCTACACTACTCTAGAAATTTCCACCACTAAATTTTCCCACCTAATTTTCCCATCTTGATTTCCCCACAATTCACAACAACAGGATGACGTAAAGTGATATCGCGTTGCATGCCTGTGCCGATTTTACCCATAACATTTCCCCCGCGCTTATCTTATGCGCACCGTGCATAAGACTGGTTCCGGGATCCGATTCTCTCCAGAATTCGGTCGGTGTGTATAGTTAGCGATTATTAGTGGTGGCGGGGTATCGGTTGGTGCAATCTCGTCGGTGTCACGTAATATCCGGGAAATTCTGATCCCTTTGATCTTTCTTTCCGGTATGTTGACGTCAAGCTCCACCACAAGATCGCGACAAAGTATATCCATGAGTCGTTGATGCAGTACGGTTAGGTTGTGTGCTTTATTCGTCTTATTATCAAACGTATACATTATCCTTGGGACCACACGTGCCGTTCCTCTTATGGTTAACCCCCCGCGCCTTGGTCAGCCTTGTACATGTTTTGTCTGATCGGGGCGTCATCACTGGTATGTCCAGTGTATCGTATTACATTAGTGCACTCAGATCTCTGATCGATCCTTTTGTTCGTATCCAGCTGGTTCGTCGGTGGTTCTCCTCTTGCTGGTAAGTATATGACGAGCTTGCGTCGTCCAGTTGGAATTTGTCTTTAATCATCATCGGTGGTCCCTCTATTAGTGTGGTGATGTCTTCTTGTTACCCTCTCTTAGATCTGTTTCTCGTTGGTTCTCTTGTTTTTTCTGATGGTGATGGCAATACTTCCGGTTGTGATGCGTCTGTGGTGCAGTTCGGGGTGATCGATCTGACAGTACTGGCGGGCTCGGACTCACTGGTTGACCCGTGGTGTATCCTTCCCTTTTGCCTGCTCTCATCTTCTCTCGTTCTTGTCTTACATTAACCGAGATCGACTTTCCTTCGGAGATCTGGGTGCTTTGCTGCTGCCTACCAACGAAGTCCCAGATTTCGATTCTTTCATCACACTCAGGTTCGTCGTTCTTGTTGGTAGGTTCCGTGTTTGGTTCGCTTTCCGGATTGGACATCTTCGGCTGTTTGTTCTCAGGTTCCTCGAGTCCGTCGACCTTTTTGGTGGATTCGTCGGTCGTAATTGTGCTGAAGAATAGTAATTCCTCTGATCGCAATGCATCTTCATGCAGCATCGTTCCCTCTCACTCAGGTCTCGTATTGATCATTCTCTCTTCGCCTTCTGATGGAGACTGTGATCCCTTCGATTGCGATGTATCTTCCTCTTCTTCTGCTCTCACCCTCTTCTGCTCTTGTCTTACACCAACCGAGGTCGGCACCTCCTCTATTCGTTGCAGGTATGTATTGGAATTCCGTGTGCTTAGTTGGTGCTTACTGTCAAGGTCTAAGATCTCGATTCCTTCATCGTACTCCGGTTCGTCGTCCTCGTTAGCGGGTTCCGAGCTCGGCTCTTCCTCGATATCGATTCTCTTGTCCCTGTGGTTCTCGCTAGGTGGCGTCGTCGGTTCTTTCTTCGGTGCCACCTTGTCTTGTTTTTCTGTCGGCGTGGTCTTGTCTTGTCTCTTCGTTGGTTTTGGGTTTGTTTCGTACGGCCCTGACTCCATGTACTCTTCAACCTGGTTTGCTTCTCCAATCGCCTCGTCCAATGTGGCGTCTCTCCCGATAGTGAGTACTGTTGCAATCCTCTTCCTCAATCCTCCTACAAACGCTTTCACCTCATCCCTTCCAGGTTCGCCCTCGTCGGGATCGACTCTTCTCAGTAGATCCCGAAATCGTTTGGCGTAGGCTGCAACTTCCCTGCTTTGGATTCGTGAGCTCCGACTGCCACTGCCGTCGTTGCTCAAGCGTCACAAAGCATCGGAGGAAGGCTGGCACAAAGCTTCCTCTACGGTCCCCCTATGGTTCCAGTGCTCAAGGCGATCCTGGTAAACTTCGTACCAGTCTGCTGCACGTCCCTCCAGGTAATCCGTTACACGTCTTAGTTTTTAGGCATTCGTCCAACCGTTAGTTCCTGTAGCTTTTTCATACAAATCTAGCCAGGAATATGGGTCTTCTCCCCTTTTACCCTTAAATTTGAGTACATTGATCTGTCGGGCTTCTCTATCTCTTTCCAAGTAGGTGAGGGCTTCCACTAATTCCGATTGCGGCCTATCACATAAATGTTTGTATCACTGATTTTCAATATCATTATCCCGGATGAATATAAAGCATTTATTCAATTTAACGTTAATAATTACTCAAAAAAATTATTAATAGTACATTGTTGTTTAGAATTAAAATAAATTTTTCTCATAGTACTATTAATGCTAGTTAATTTTCTAATTTCGCTTGAACAATCACTAGGCTGTTGTAATAAACATTTCATAACTTTTTCTAAAGCCTCTAATCCTTCCGTAATAGAAATAACAGATGATTCGTTTATATCTTCTTCTTCTTCACTTTGATTTGTGTCATCTTCTTCTTGAACTAATTTAATAATCATTTCTTCATCTACAGGTTCTTCAATTTCTTTTTCTTTAATAGGATTTAAAAAATCATTAATCATCATTGGATTTTTATATCTATAATAATAATAGTAATAATGGTTAATAATAGAATTAAAAAAAAAAATAATTTTAATTTTAATACCTTAAGTTTGTAATGTTTTTTTCTATTTCGATAAGTATTTCATTTTCTTCTTGCTCCATTATTTTAGAATTATTAAAATTAATAATACCCGTATGCTTCCAACAATTAACAATAATATCGCTTGTAATATTATTTTTCCATGCAAAATTAGCATATTGTATAGCATTTAGAATATTAAGTTTAGAAGTATCAAATCTATCTTTTTCAAATTTTTCAAGAAGGTATTGTATAAATTGACGTCGATAGTATTTTTTAAAAGAAGCTATAATTCCTGCATCACAAGGTTGAAGTTTTGAAGTAGAATTTGGTGGTAAAAATTTAATTTGTGTATTTTTTAATTCTACTCTATCAATTATATGACAAGGCGCATTATCAAGTAATAATAATACTTTTCTGCCATTCATTCTTCGATCAAATTGATTTAACCACCTATAGATAAAAAATTAATTAGATTAAAAATATTTTATAAAAAAAATTAAATTATTATAAATTATTTACTCTTGAAATAAAATTGCCGTCATCTATGCTTTGGTATTCGCTTTATAGATAACTCCAAGATTATTCATATTAATATTTTTCATACATCGGGGTTTCAAAAATTTTCCAATAATAAAAAGAGGAAGTTTGTCTGTTCCATCAGCATTACAACAAAATGCAATAGTCAAACGTTCTTTATCTTTTTTTTTTCCTTCCAATTGTTTTGTAGCCAAAGTTGTATCAGGTTCGAGTCTATTTTTTAATTAATTTTATTAATAAATATTAATATTTTATAATATTAAATATTGTATATTATATACTTACCGAAAAAACAATCCTGTTTCATCCATATTATAGATATTTTCTAATTTAAAAGAATCAATAATTATTTTTAATTCTGAAAGTGCTTTTTCAATTGTATCTATATTAACGGAACCACTTTCTCCATGTAATCGATATCTTTTTAAATTATTTCTATAAATATAATATTTAAAATAATAAATTAATAAAATTATTATTATTATATATAAATAAAAATTTACTTACCGATTTTTAAAACTTTGAAGCCATCCAGAAGAAAATGAAAGTATATTATCAGGAATATTAAGCATTTTTGCAAATAATTTAGCTTTTTCGATTATAATTAAATCTGTAAGTGGAATATGACCTTGTGAACGTAAACACCATTCTTGAAGTGCATATTCAAGTTCAGGATATTTAACATTACGTATTTTTTTTTGCAAAGGATTTTTTTTATCATTTAAATATTCGGATGAGCGTTTTAATGTTCTAGAAATAGTTGCTTGATCAATTTTTATATTAAATTCTTGTTGACACCAATTAATTAATTCTTTTTGTGTTATTTTTGAATCATTTTGTTTTTTTAAACAAATTTGATAATGTTGTTCATTAGTTAATATAACTTTTTTCATTATAATATAAAGAAAAAATTTAAATTCTATAATTATAATTTTTTTTTTATAATTTTTTTTTTGTATAACGTTACATTTATATATAAACGTATATATGCATATTCTGTTTAAATGCATAAAAGTTTATTGGTCCCAACAGTATGCATTTAGACAGGTGCCACTGTATTTATATGTTTTAATAGTGACTCAATTAATTGTATCCAATAATTGCGTCAATTGCATCAAGGATTTACAAATTTCAGCAACATGTATAGTATACTGTAAAGCCAGGATTTTCTTATTTCGAGTTTGTCTAATATTGACAGTTCATTGTGCAGCAATTTGATCCAGAAGCTTTTTTTCTTGCATTCTTTAAAGGACATAGTCAGTTCACTAAGTTTAAGATTGCCCAGGATTGCTTTCAGATATAGCTTCTTTGTTAATTAATCTGTTGTTCTAAGAGCTGTTGTATTCTTCTGGTTTTTGCCCAAATCTTTACATTTATTGTCTTGTTAACTTCCTTAATAAAGTTTCTTGGGGCTATGTCTACTACCTTATTGTGTCAGATAGTAATAGTTTGAATGTGTTTGCCACTCAATAGGTGCCATTCGATTGCTGGTAATTGTGTTGCTTGTTTAACAAGCTGATCTGCTTGCTTGTTATACTTGTTGCCGGAATGTGCTTTGACCTTATTAAGTTTAAGCTTGAGATCTTTTTTCTTTGTGATTTCTATAATGTCTTGCCAGATTAACCAGTTATTGATTTTCAGTCATATTTTGTGAGTCAGCTTGGAGTTGGCCTTGAAGATCATGGTGAAGGTGTTGATATAGTTTTGACTGTCGATATGAATAGTGACTTCCTTTTCTCTTGATACTGTGAGAATCACTGCCAAGATAGTGGTGGTCTCTGCTCTGCATAATAATGGCCAGTCTTGAACATCACATTGGAATCTGCTATTAGAAATGGACCCTTGGGTTTGGATTATACATGTTGTTGAAATTCGTAGATCCTTGACGCAATTGACGCAATTATTTGACGCAATTAATTGAGTCACTATTAAAACATATAAATAATTGAGTCATGACGCAATTATTTTTGAGGATTTTGGGAATTGGGTCAACAGCAAATAATTTATACCACATGTATAGTTTGGATTCATGCAGTGCCCATTTTGATCTCTTCTTTGCTTGTTCCTCTGTTTAGTAGAAACCCATCTGTATAAAATTCATATTGACAAATTGTTTGTGTAATGTTTGAGTATATTGGATACTTGTTATTGAGCAGGGCTTTTGTAAGGTCCTCTTTGTAATCTTCTGACTTGACTGTTTTTTTGATTAGGTCTATGTTCCAATCCAGTATTGTGACTTCTTGGAATTTAGTTTTCTCCATATGATCTGGTGGCATTTTGAATACTGCTATCACTTGTTTTTCTAGTATGTAGGGGTTGCATGGAATTCTTATTTCTGAAGTTCTGTTGTTACCATGTGTTTTGTTTAGAAGATCGCAACCCAAGACCCTTTTTTCTTTTACTTGAACTTTGTTTGAGCTTTCTGGTACTGAGTCTATTCAGAAGTTATTTGAATCACTAGTAGATTTATAATTAATCTTAAGGAGGATTTGTTCTGACTCAGATGCCATACAGTTGTAGTGTAAGAGTGTAAGGATTTTGTCTGCTGAATCATTCCTTGTTTGTATTTTTCCTATTGGATTTTATCTTGTTCATTTTTGAATGCACATCACTTTTTGATTCTTTTGTCTAGGAAAGTCTTGCTGAACCAGCTTGTACTGCTTTTTTTCCATGGCCTGATTATCCAGTTATCATTTAGTTTGAAGCCTTTACTATCTGTGATCCTTTCTCTGAGTTTATTATGCCATTGTGGAGTGTATCCTTTGTTTGAGCCTGGTAGTATTAGCTTGATGAGATTTCAGTCTAGTAGGATTCCAAGCTCAATGTTAATTAGCTGGTCTATATATATGAGCTGTCTCTTTTTGAGTGATTATATAGATTTTTTGTATAGGTAATTGTTATTTGGTCCATTTTTGATAGTAGAAAAGCCTCCTGCCTATTGAAAGTTGTCTTTTAGGAGCTTGTTTTGAAATCTAAATTTGACTAGCTTTAAGATTGTGGCCACAAAGTTGTCTCTATTATTAAAGGAGTCTGGGATGTCCTCTGAGAAGATATTGATCAGTTTCCAGTTTTTGAGCTGGGCCTGTTTGAGTCTTATTATTGTTAATTTGTCAGCAGCTTTCCTGTCATTGAGACTGTTAATAAGCTCTATAATTTGTGACTCTGTTTGAAAATTCCATATGTGTTTTAGATCAAAATTCCTTTATTGTGCATAGTGTCGTTGGGAATAGTACTGCAGACTTCTGCTTTGTGTTTCAGTATTTTCCTATATTGTCTTGTGAGCTTTTCGCAATATTTTTGAGGAATGTGACAGTTTTGTATTCTATATTCAATTCTTGGAACCAAGACCTTGTTAAATATATATAGGACTTGTTTATCTGTTGCTCTTTTGTTTTTGAATACTAATATTATTCTATCGATTTAATGTTGGACCCAACAGATCATATCTTTTTTGGGGTCCTTGCTTCCAATACAGACTCCTAAGAATCGTGTTGTTTCGTGGGCTTCCATTCTGCGAACTAGTGCTTGGTCTATTCCAGCCTTTACAGAGTTGTTTTCTGGATCTTCCATCCTTTTATGTTTAGTAAGACTAATTTAAGACTATTAATTTGTAAGTCATTTGTTTTATAGAATTTTCTGGTATCATCTAGGATCTCTTGCAGGTTTGCTCTGGAATGGGATATCCAAGTAGTATTATCCATGTATACTATTGCTACACTTTGTAACTTGAGTATTTGGCTTTGATCTAATAAAACGTCTGGCTTCCAAGTGCATTGTATAGTGTACTTCATGTTTGTGTTTTCTTGGATTTTGCAAAATAAAGGGTCATAAAAGATTTACCAGAGGAGTGGTGAGATGGCATTCCCTTGGTCAATGTCATCTTTTGTTGAAACTGTACTTGTGAGGTCTTGATCTGTTATAACTTTAAAGCTTCTTCCTTGAAACAGTGTGATTAACAAGTTCAACATTAATGTAGGAATTTTGAGTCTGTTCAGAGCCCTGCATAATATGTCAAGGTTAACAGTGTCAAAGATATTGGCTGTGTTTTGAAACAGGATTCAAAGTTCTTTCTTTTGTTCTTTTGCCTCTTTATAGATATTATTGATCAGTTGGATTGGTTCTTATATGTTTTCTTCTAGTAGTTTTGCAAAGTTTGATTTCCTAAGAATGTTTTTCTTTTTGAATACTGTGGACAACCTGTTTGTGATCAATTTTATAAAACATTTGCATGTTGTTTCTATCAATGCTATTGGTCTTGTATTGCTGAGGTCTGTCAGTAAATCTTCTTTTTTTGGTATCAGATAGATGTTGCTTTGTTTTTATAATTTTGGAATAATGCCTAGTGTGTGGAAAATATGGAATAAGCTAACCAGAAACATTTTGTCTTGAATCTTGAGCTTT